ACCTGGTTACCGCATTTAGGATTTGAATTAAAATTTTATGACTCTTTCCCGCAATTACGAGGGTTCTAGTTCCGTAGGAAACAGCCGACAAAAAAAAGAAAAGAAAACGGACGCAGTTGTGCACACCACTAACGTAAAACCTACGGGGACTTTAAGCCTTAAAACTCAGAATAAAAGATTACTCACTGACAACTGACTGCTATGGAGACAAGAACGAATCGTGACAGTGATTTATGCCGTACACTACTGAGGAACGTTTAATCCTTTCACTTCACCTCTCAAAATATTTCACCGACACTTTCAAGTTAAATTTCTCGCTTTTACATATCAATCAGTGAAACTCTGACCACCCTTGAAAAAACCGTGAATTAAAAAGGAATCGTTTATAGTGATTGTTTCAAAAAGTAAAAGAATTCTATATTCCTCCTAATTGAAAGAGCTGGACTTAATGATTTTATCATTTCTTCAAATTGGCATCATACAAAAATGTTGTTATACCACTACAAATTAGTTTCAATCCGGGATGGTGCTTATACAATCCACAATTTTCCGAATTCTTGAAACTAAGCCTAAGCCAACATATGTAAGAAATAGTAACAATTATATAACACATAATTGAGGATTACTTAGGAACATTTTCACTGAAAAGTTTGTGTCACCTCGAACATACCGCAAAATCATTACAAGCGAAAAGGATTTAGGTTAAAGCAACTTTCATTTGACGAGTAGAAGAGGTTCTTTAGTTAGGTTAAATTTTCTTTCCGCCAAAATCTTGACAAAACAACTTGAACTGAAAACTCCGGAAAACTGAATAATTTCTCGGGGGAAGGTGACGAGGAAGCTTTTGTTTCTTTTAATCAAGGATTAAACTGTCGTATTAACTGTTTTAAGAACCGTCATAAATCCTGATGACATAAGACCGTACGATGACAAAAGAAATCTTGCGTACCCAACAGCATTGGAACTTATCATATGATTTTTTTTATCCAGAAAGGTTTGCAAGGTGTCATGTTTTTAATCAGTAAACTTACTTTAAACAACGAGCTTATTTGAACTAACGAAATGCTCTTGATTAACCAATCCTCCGAGATATATATTTGTGTTAAAAATCCTAAACTAGAACTTTTCAGTTTCTCAATTTCTCGTCTGTACTGCGCTCTGATCAGAAAAATACCCGTTCCGATGGTAGCAGTTTCCTCCATGTATCTAAGGCAATACAGAATTTACCAGAAATGTCCTCACCTTCAATTTTTTGTCCGTTTATCCGTTGTCTCCCATATTCAGTAGCTACATTCTCAGTAAGCTAGCGCTGTTATCAATTTTCCTCACGGAAAAACACCCACAGTTTTATGTTGGTCAAGTTTTTGGTTTCTCAACCTTTAATTTGACACCTCGCAATTTAGGCACCAGTTGTAAAAAGCATACTAGACGAGGTGATTGAGTTTCCTTGGTATTTTTTTTGCCGAACAATACTTAGGGTCTACAGGTAGCCCAACTCGAAATATCAGCGTCTGCAATCTTGTTTCCAGAGTCCCCTCTCTTTCTTCCTGGGAACGAGGTTAGAGCAGTAGACCTTTTTACACAGTACGGCGGCCGTATTGAATTAATTCGATTTAAAGAGTATTATAGGATGCCCAGGGGGCATGAGCACATTTCGGTTGTATTTTCGAGCGCTTTTCGGGACATTTTTTCTTAAAGTTTTCTTAGAATAAGATTGTAATGGGAAAACAGATCCTTGTGCCGTGCTTAATTGTAATAATGATCGCCTTTCCACTGAATCGTAGTGCTTAGTAGCTTCTCTTTGAATTATCACACTTAGGATTTCATCCACAGACTCAAACGATAGAACCATGATATACAGCAAAATAAACATTACCACAGGAAAGTCCTGCTCAGTAGCTTTCAATTTGAATAATTTCATCCACAGACTCAAAAGTTAGTGAAAGCAAAGAGAGTTATTGGTCATGTAGCTTTTTTTCCCTCGATATTGCTAAGTGACCTACTCGTGAATAGCAAGACAAACTTAAAAACTATGACTATAGATTATTGCGTCTTTGTCAGAAGATTTCCCTGGAATAATACGAAATTCTCTCTTTTCTTAACTCTTCAACTTTCATTTTAATGCGGTCAGTAGCGATGTTGACTTTCGGAAATTCTTGAAGTACTTTATCCATGTTCAAGAAAGAAAGCTGGAAGATGATTCTCTAACGGCATTGTTTCCATGGACACGCTGCGTACATACCCAAAACTGAGACTACTGAAGCCGGAGGCCTGTTTTAGAGTGACACGTTTCAGTGAATATGTGAAGGCATTTTTTTTTTCGAAAAAATTAGCGTTTTACATGAGTTAAAAAGCTAAATGGTCATGCCTTACAATTTGTCGAGTCGTGTTCTGCTCTTTAAACTATGCAATGACCGAATTATGCCGTCGGGTAGTTCTGAATTTTTTTTGTCTCGTGTATAGATATTTATGGCAGGACCGTCTTAATTTTACGAAAACATTAAAATCTGAATTTTATTGAACAAAGCATTGGAATGTAGAAATATCTAAAACAAATGTAAAATTTGTACGTACGGGCGTTCCTGTTCGGCGAGACATGCAATTCTTGAACACTTATAATGCCCCATAATACATAAAATGAAAAATATAGGACTTTTAAATATACTTTCCTTAGTTAACGACGTTCAAACTTGTGAGGTTTCTGCTCAATTTAAGGGTTAAATTTCCTGCTGTATAGATACGTTATTGTTACAAATCAATTGCAAACATGAAAATTTAAAAAAGAATTCGCTTTGTATAGTGAACTGTTTGTAATTTGCATCTGTCCCTCCACTAACCTTTGACCAGTTTTCCGCCAAGAGAAAAAGAATACAGTATCTCTTCTGCAAGTCCACAGAGAAATTCAGTGCTTTGAACAAAATCAGCTCTGGGCCTCACAGCTGGATCCTATTCTAAACCTGGTTACCGCATTTAGGATTTGAATTAAAATTTTATGACTCTTTCCCGCAATTACGAGGGTTCTAGTTCCGTAGGAAACAGCCGACAAAAAAAAGAAAAGAAAACGGACGCAGTTGTGCACACCACTAACGTAAAACCTACGGGGACTTTAAGCCTTAAAACTCAGAATAAAAGATTACTCACTGACAACTGACTGCTATGGAGACAAGAACGAATCGTGACAGTGATTTATGCCGTACACTACTGAGGAACGTTTAATCCTTTCACTTCACCTCTCAAAATATTTCACCGACACTTTCAAGTTAAATTTCTCGCTTTTACATATCAATCAGTGAAACTCTGACCACCCTTGAAAAAAACAGTGAAATAAAAAGAAATCGTTTATAGTGATTGTTTCAAAAAGTAAAAGAAGTCTATATTCCTCCTAATTGAAAGAGCTGGACTTAATGATTTTATCATTTCTTCAAATTGGCATCATACAAAAATGTTGTTATACCACTACAAATTAGTTTCAATCCGGGATGGTGCTTATACAATCCACAATTTTCCGAATTCTTGAAACTAAGCCTAAGCCAACATATGTAAGAAATAGTAACAATTATATAACACATAATTGAGGATTACTTAGGAACATTTTCACTGAAAAGTTTGTGTCACCTCGAACATACCGCAAAATCATTACAAGCGAAAAGGATTTAGGTTGGAGCAAACCTTCATTTGACGAGTAGAAGAGGTTCTTTAGTTCGGTTAAATTTTCTTTCCGCCAAAATCTTAACAAAACAACTTGAACTAAAAACTCCGGAAAACTGAATAATTTCTCGGGGGAAAGGTGACGAGGAGGCTTTTGTTTCTTTTAATCAAGGATTAAACTGTCGTATTAACTGTTTTAAGAACCGTCATAAATCCTGATGACAAAAGAACGTAAGATGACAAAATAAATCTTGCGTACCCAACAGCATTGAAACTTATCATATGATTTTTTTTTTATCCAAAAAGGTTTGCAGGGTGTCATGTTTTTAATCAGTAAAACTTACCTTAAACAATTGCAACGAGCTTATTTGAACTAACGAAACGCTCTTGATTAACCAATCCCCGAGATATATATTTGTGTTAAAAATACTAAACCAGAACTTTTCAGTTTCTCGAATTTCTCGTCTGTGCTGCGCTCTGATCAGAAAAATACCCCTTCCGATGGTAGCAATTTCAGTAGTCCTACATGCATATCTAAGACAATACATAAATTACAAGAAATGTCCTCACCTTTAATTTTTTATCCGTTGATCCGTTGTCTCCCATATTCTGTGGTTACATTCTTAGTAAGCTACCACAATTTTATGTTGGTCAAGTTTTTGGTTTCTCAACCTTTAATTTGACACCCTGCAATTTAGGCACCAGTTGTAAAAAGCATACTAGACGAGGTGATTGAGTTTCCTTGGTATTTTTTTTTTTGCCGAGCAATATCGGTTAGGCATCTTAGGGTCCACAGGTAGCCCAACTCGAAATATCAGCGTCTGCAATCTTGTTTCCAGAGTCCTCTCTCTTCCTTCCTCGGAACGAGGTTAGAGCGGTACGCCTTTTTACCGATATGGCGGCCATATTGAATTAATTCGAATTAAAGAGTATTATAGGATGCCCAGGGGGCATGAGCACATTTCGTTTGTATTTTCGAGCGCTTTTCGGGACATTTTTTCTTAAAGTTTTCTTAGAATAAGATTGTAATGGGAAAACAGATCCTTGTGCCGTGTTTGGATGTAATAATGATCGCCTTTCCACTGAATCGTACTGCTTAGTAGCTTCTCTTTGAATTATAACACTTAGGATTTCATCCAGAGACTCAAACGTTAGAACCATGATATACAGCAAAATAAACATTACCACAGGAAAGTCTTGCTCAGTAGCTTTCAATTTGAATAATTCCATCCACAGACTCAAAAGTTAGTGAAAGCAAAGAGAGTTATTGGTCATGTAGCTTTTTTCCCTCGATATTGCTGAGTGACCTAATCGTGACTTAAAAACTATGACTATAGATTACTGCGTCTTTGTCAGAAGATTTCCCTGGAATAATACGAAATTCTCTCTTTTCTTAACTCTTCAACTTTCATTTTAATGCGGTCAGTAGCGATGTTGACTTTCGGAAATTCTTGAAGTACTTTATCCATGTTCCTACTCAAATTGACTACTTCTCTTTCAACATCTTCAAGACTAAAATGCTTCACATGATTTGGCGAACCAAGAATATCTTCGGAATTGGTCCTGATTTTTTCGTGAATGTTCGGTATCAACTCGTCATGACCCTCATATTCTATCTTGCTTTCAGCTATCTTTTTGTCAGACACATCATTGTTGATATTCGCCATAAATTCTAAATTCTGCGCACTTCCTTTTTGCTTCTGTATTTCCACGTTACCTTCTTCTATCTGTCCAATAATTCCATCGTTGATCGGCAAAGAACCTTTCCTGCTTCTTCCGTCCGTTTTTGAAGACTTAACATTTTCTTTTAGGGCCGCTAATATCTGCATCGCTTGTGGCGATTTTTTCCCTTGCGATATTTTGCGTGGAATAGAGGATTTTCTCTCTTCTTGTCCTTCCAATTCTTTTTTCACTGTTTCTTGATCCGACGCTTCGCTTGCGCTAGCGCTAGTACTTGTAGCGGAATCCGATTTAATATTTGCGTCGTTCGCGAGGGCAAAAGCCAGCCGTTTTCGTAACGATTTAGCTGCTTTTCCTTGGCCTGTAAGTGACACTTTTCTCCGTGCGCCTTGTTTATCCGTTTTGTCCTCCATGTTTAACGAAATACTACCTCTTTCGTCACTCAGTAAACGCGTATTCTACTTGAACTTTGCTTCCTCCTGTAGCACCTTGGATTTATGTTTCACTTTGATCGGTCCAACATCTCGGTCCAACATCTCTGAAGAAAATACGTCGCTCTTTATTTCACGAGGTCAATAACATCCATATCTCCCTGAATTTCAATTGACTCGTGCGTGGTATAACATTTCAGTGTTATTTGCCTTTGTCGCACAAGACCTTGTTTCAAAACAAACTGTAAAATAATACGGAAAAATTATGAACTGCACGCGACGATGGCTATCACCACTAAAATGTTCCGTATATGGCGTTACTCGCTGAAATTCAAGACGAAAAAGAAAAACAAATCACTTAAAATTTTGACAATTTTGGTCTTCCCATTTTTCAATTACGCGACGTCTTCATGTCTGGGATGTCTGGTTTCGTGACATCCATTAAAGGGAAGAGAAACAATCTAAACTGTTCACTAGTGGTTTTAATCTTAAGTGAAAATCTGAAAACTAATATACGAAAACAGAAAAGATTATCAACTGAACTGGTATCATTCAGTCGCAAGCTACATTTCCTGATTTTAATGGTTACGCTTCGCCTTATCTATATTTTAATGCAACAAATATTATTAATAGCTGTCGAACTGAAAGCATATATATATGTGCAAATTATACTGGGAATCCAAAGTTTGTTTATTGACCGGAGCAATGTAAGCTTATCTGTCTAAACGTAGGTCGCGAGTTTAACTCCCGGCCTAAAGCGTTTAACTTCTTTGTAATTTTTAGCAATATCTGATGTCGTTTTAAAAAATTCCAGCCTTTTTTAAAAATAAAAAAAAATAATAGCAATCCATTCACCGGTACCATATTTCAAACTGTTAGTCATATTTGTCAAGGAAAAGAGCAAAAACTGTCACCCTTGACACAAATCGTTCAGACATTCGTGAGCCATATTTTCTTGTAACATATGGTCGACAGATCGTGGGAATGGATGACTGTAAGCCTTTGAATATTCTGTGGTAGGAAATATGGGTATGAAATTATAGGAGATTTTAAAAAATCAGGAAAAGGTCATTTGTGCGCTTTGTCGCTAATAAAAAGATTTCAGATCGGACACAATTTTTATCCTCTTATACCAACGCCCAATAAGTACTCCTGATCCAAAACTATTAGGAAAAATAATTTCGAGGACAATCATTGACCCTTTCACAAGCAAAGTCAAAATTTGACAAAATTTCCAAAGAGGGTTTCACTTGAATGGTCACCCCGCGGAATTTCTTAAAAGTTAGAGCCACCTTACAAGACTAATCCGATTGGTGTATGACAACTTGGTCTAAACTTCCTCGTAATACCATTGAAACGTAACGTTCTGTGATCACATTAATTGTGGTTTTGGCTGATTTTTGTTGTTTTTCAAAGCTATCAATATATAGCTGTGATTCTAGATCACCCAGACTTTTTATCCAGTTTGATTTCGATCTCCTTTACTTTTTTAAATGCAATTGAAATACCTGTTAATTTGATATAATTATAAATCTGTTTTTCCACATCTGTCAAATTTAAGTCCTCGGATTCATAAATTTTTCATTTTATTACTTTGTATATCTCCACACAAACGCGGAGATTTTCAATCTAAATACTCTTTTTTAAGAGTATTTAGATTGACTTCTTTACTTCCATTTAGTCAGTTACAATCAAAGTACCTGACCAAAGCATAAGATCTTTAAGCAAACTAAATTTTTTGTTTAATGACAATCCCTCATAAATCAGGAAAATAGAATAGTTATAGCCAAGTAATTATTTTTAAACGACAATTAACTTAACTTGACCGAAGTCAACTAAAAAGAGCAATATTTAATCCCCTGGAATGTTTTTTTTTTCATACTCTCCCAGGTAAAATTATGAAAAAATCTGATTTTAAGCCTTCGTGTCCAACTGGTACGATCGATATTGGATTTCAAAGATGGTTTTGTTTCCGCATTTCATATTCAAACCAGCGCGGTGCTTCTTGAATTTGACCTTTCGCATTATGAGGATTAAACTCTTAAATATGAAAGATTCATTAATACTTGAAGAATAGATGCGACCCCGCAAAGACGTTAGCAATCTTGAAAATCATGCAAAATCTAATACGAGTCAAGGAGAAGGAAATGCTTCCAATTAGATGATAAAAATCAATTACATTTAAATAATACATAGGCTGATTGCGGAAAGAAGCCACTTTCCAATTAACCTTCTGCCTGCCTTAAATTGTTTACAAAATGAAATTTTAGATTTTTTCGGGATCTTAAGAGTCCAAGGATAAATATGTAAATACTTTTGGATTTAAATTGTTTTGAAGGTCATGTCATTCAATAGTTTAGGGCAATGCGATGCTCGAAATGAAATACCCGCGCCACGATTTTGTGGAATTCCAGACGGCTATGCACGCTGCCCAGGCCAAGTAGTCACTATTCTTGTCTTTCACGATCTATTACTAAACCGCTGTCGTTGTTGAGTTGTATATAACGTGACCCAGTGACGGTCTGTTGTTAAAGAAGTGTTAGATTTGACAATGGCCTTAGCGAGAGTTAATCGATTATGGCTCGACCAAGTTGTGGATAGAACAAAACATAGCCAATGGTAAGTGCAGATTTTCAATGTCTAGAAAACCTTGTCAGTATTAAAAAGACACTTGATTCATTTGACCTGATTTTCAAACAGGCCCAAGGCCTAATTGGACTCCGTGGATGAAATACTCAGACACAAGTAAACTAAAAGCTACACTAATCAAAGTTAAGGGGCCAGTTCTTCTTTATTCATATCTCACAAAATAACAGCAAAAAATAGGGAACACTCATTTTCTTCTGACAGAGAGATGATTTAGAGGTGTTTAAAGTGCTGACGGCTTAAAGCCGTTTATAAGAACCGACTGACAAGAAATTGCCTTCCTCGATTTCTTATTGTCGTTTTGTAGGATCTATGACCTTGTTTTCAGTCCCGATGGATCTTGCATTCTCGTGGCTGCAGGAAACCTTATTTTGGTAAGTGCATTTACAAATGGATAAAAAAAGTAAAATGTCGCTTGTAATGATTATGCAGGTTCTTCTTGCTCGCGTGTTTGTACAGTGGTACACTTTTGTTTGACAACTTCCCGTGACTGTCATCTACTTGTCATAATTTCATAAATGTTGTTGACTGATTAATGGATCATCGCAACAGAATCTCCTCGCAACACGCGATTTATTAGATCCGCTGTAAAGAAAGAAAACTTTTATAGTTGAGCTCGAAGCACGAAAATTCACACCAGCTTTTGAAATGAATCACAGTTTTGTTAGAAACAGTCATGGTCTCCTGCGAATGCATATTGAAAGTCGCTTTTCGTCGTGCCTTAAGGCCTAATGCCATGTGCCATTATCTTAATTAAAGTGAATGTCTGTGGCTTTTTAGGGTCGTAGACTTGGGAACCGAGGATAGTTCTCCTAGGTATGTGGCCTCTTAGAGGGTATAGTGTTTAAAACGTTTTGGTCTGAAAACGAGTATAGGCTTTGTCCATAATGGTGTGAAATCTGGTGTGGTTTTCAGGGGAACCATGAGGGAGTATAAACGTGTTTGTCTCAGCTTTCAACTTCCAAAAGACCGTTTTGTGTCAAAGTACCAAATAATAGAAAGTTCGTAGACATTCGTGAAAAAAAGTATTCTCTCAGACAATATAATGGGCTGGCAAATCAAGTACAACCTTTAAAAGTCAGGCATGAAAGTCGCGCGAAAGGTGCGTGGATAACGCAATTGGTTTCCCTAATACTTATCCGATGGATAGCGCTTTCCATCTTTTGAACAACCGGCGCCAGGTCTGAAAAAGGGTGTGAGTCAGGGTCAGTGGAGAACCGGGTGGCACTTCCGGCACCCTCACCTCAAACCGCCCGAGAGTACTCGCCCGGGAGTCCATTACAGTAAGAGCCACAAGTATTATGGGTTAAGATATATCTTCAGTTCAATCTTTGTTGAATTTTGGATACTCTTGTAAACTCTGTCGTGTTAACTAACAATTCGTTTAGGCTATCTTCACACGGCACTGCCGGACGAATTTTTCACTAGCTGAAAATTCATGCATTTAGGTCAATGTTACATTGATATGGAACTCACTTAACACAAAGTGTCCTATCAAATTCTTCTGCCGGTCGAAAATTCGTCCTTAATAAGGTTTAGTAGTACATTACAATAAATCGTAGTTGAAAATATAATTTCTTTTCATTCCCAAAATTTTGTGGGACGAGGCGTTTTTATTGAAATTAACCTGTCTTCTGTCATGCTTTGCGTCTTCTGTGGATTAAACCCAGACAGGGGGGAGTTTAAGAGGCAGTATTCACAGGCTAAGGACTAGTGGGCAGCTTCTTTTATCAGATCTCTTGATATTTTCAGCTCTATAAACCGCGCGTCTCCAATCCTGAACTCCTGCAGACATTTCCCTGTTTCTATGCTTGGCAATTACCCTGTATAAATCCCTCTCCCCTTTCACGAATCTCGGGTCAAAAATTCATACTTGACCTGCATTCCTAAGGTCGAGCTTGTGCACAGTAAAGTACGGCCTCTTGCCTTATGATGTTCATGTTGTTTTATACTGTTTCAAAAACGAACTACTGCAATGATAAGGGATGTAGGAATAATGAATATCGATTCCAGATTTATACCTTGTCTGGAAGTGGTAGCCCTCTATTCTGTCAGTTTCTTTTTCTCTTCTGATGTTTCTAGAAAAACGAGAAAAAATGTTTCGTTATTTTAATACCCGTCTCTTTGATGCGTTGCTTTACAGTGCGGTATAAACTCGTTCGTGCTCTCAGGTGCAGGACGGAAAAATAACAAAACTTGACATTGTTCTGTGATACTTGTAAGTGAGGGCAACACAGTGATAACAAACTTCCGTTGGCCAGCAGCCGAGCTCTACTTATCGCGACTTTAATTTATGGCGCAAACTTATGCTATGATTGGAATTGAGACCTGACTTC